TGATGATTCGGCGATAAAAGCAAACAAGACGCAGCAAAATATGGCTGAAATCGTGTTTTCGTGTAAGTGAAATAAAATGTATTATATTTAAAGAAAACAATGACAATCCTTATGAAATCAACAATATTTATATTAAATTAAGCATAGTTTTTCACTCCATAATAATTTTTTTTAGGAAATAAGAATATTTAATTTCTGCCAGGTATATTAGTTATTTTGTGCATAATCAGCAATTTACCTGGGGTGGTGCATAGTCATTTTCTGGTAAAATATTATACTTAGGCAAATTTTTCCTTCCAATGACCACCACTAAAAGCAACCCTTCTAAACACTATAAGCACTTCAGAAAGGCTATCGCTTTTCCTTTTTGGAAGTTAGAGCTATGTCGACACTGTCGTTTCAGGCGGAGTCATTTTCAGGACTTTCGTCCCGGATTCAGGTTTTCGCACATATGCCATGTTGACGGCCATGGTCATTTTACCCTAAAACAGTTGAGATTACCTGTCCTAAATGAATCGCATACAAACTCATATACAGGTCCTAGACTATATATAATTTTTCACAAATAATTGTGGGTATATTAGGGACAAAATATTTTGTGAAACATGGCGTTTTCGCCATAATTAATAAAGCGAGAGGCAAAACAAGTAAACAAGGTAATTGGTAGCCTGCGAACAGGGTAATTGGCGTAGATTGCATCACTCGCCATCGAAACAAAATAACAACCCAAATAAAACAAGCGAATAACTTCAAACGAGAAATCTATTAAAACAAACATAATTAGAGGAAACTATGGAATCTGATGAAAGATGCAGCAGACCTCAATAAGAACAAAGCAACACCTAATAAGATAACAACGATTTGATCAGCTCAAGATATTCAACTCCCATCTCTCTCCCAAATAGCCAGTACTGTTATCGACGACACTGCACATCACCAGCCTAATTTCGATGCTTTACGTAATATTTTTGTGGACACTCAACTTCGCAAGGACCACCAACTTACAATTCCGCCAATGACTGCGTCTTGGAATACACATGGATGATAACGCAATTTAGAGTAAACACATCTCTGCCGTTATTCAACACCAAACTAGAACAAGTTAAACGAGCTAAACCCTACATAACACCTGAATTTTTACTTGTCTTCTACAACAGTTTGGCCAAGTCAACACTCAAATATTGTTGCAGTGCGTGGGGTAACTGTTCTGCGGATGCACTTAGTGAATTAACCTCCGCCCAAGAAAATGCTGCAAGAATTCTCGTAAACGCGGACTACGCTACTCCATCCTTAATTAACTTTATTCCAGCACCTTCAAATGATAACCGTCACCGCATCGTTCTTCTCATCCGCCACCGCATACTTCTACAAACCTTCAACTGTTTCCACGAAATTAGCCCATGCACCTTGCCCCAGCACGCGCCTAGAAAACCCGACCCACCACCACTCTACAAGGATAGTAGAAAACAACAACCTGTTTCTTCCCAAAGCCAGGACCAACGCAGGAAATCGCAGATTTTCGTTCCTGGCTCCTTATTTCCAGATCTGGAAAAGAAATTTACAACAACACGTGGGTTTAGATCGTTCTGAAAAGCACATTTTAAGAAGTTGAACAAACTATCTAAGATAACTAAACTGAACACAAAAAGATTATTCTAAAATAAAAACGTCAATTCTATACTAATAGTAGAAATTGTTGAAAGTTATAGATTGTAAATGTTGTATGATTGTGATGTATCGTGTATGTTGTGTGTCTGTGACGTACATGTGGCTGTATATTTTACGTATTTAAAGTATGTTAATTGCATGAGTATCGTCTAGAGTATCGTAATCACGTAATGTAATATATTTCTAGAATTTAGGAGGACCAGATTGGAAACAAGCTGTACTGTAGCTTTATAGCTTTGTAGCTTATCTTTTGTTTAATGGAAAAGCCTTTACCTTAAACAAGACTAACAAAACTTACATAGTTGAGTGGAATTTTCAAGCTGTCAGCGTTGTATTATGTGATATAACAAAGCCAGGAGAACTTTTCCAGTAGACTGTTCGCTATAAACGTTTGTCTCGAACATTTTTATGTATATTAGTAATACTTATTATATGAAAAGCATCACTTCCGGTGAAAATGCGAACAGTGATTGGCTGAGAAGCACTTTCAATAGGATGGTTTCTTGTGAAATTTGGATAAAACAAGCACTCGTGAGTTTTTCAGAGACTTCAAATAGCACTCGTCCTTTGGACTCGTGCTATTTTGGTGATCTTTAAAAACATACTCGTGCATGGTTCATCCAAATTCCACTCAAAACCGTCCTATTACCTAAACAAATGAACTGTTTTTCGGGTTTCTGAATGTTTTTTCAGTCTCTTGTCGCAAACGTCACGTCTTTGCCCCCTTCTTTTAGCAAATCTTTACGCTTTCCCCCCACTTTTTCCAGCTCTTCGTTTGGTTTCATGTCTTATCTTCAGTGTTGATTGTGTTGTAATGGTTGTTTTAAATAATTAAAGAAAATCTCAAAATGCTTTCGAAATTGACAAGCCCGGAACGGCGCTCCGCGCTGTTCGCTAGGGGATTTGCATTCCGATCAATCGTCCTTTGCCCAGTGTTGATACCCATACGCAGATGTTCCGCAAGTGTTTTACCGTATACTTGTGAAATAAAATTATCTTTTTGACTTTACTAGTATTCGTATGGAAATAAAATTGAAAATTATTATGAAGTTGCTGCAGCCTGACTTGAATTTATGTAAAGTGCTAGCTTATATTAACTCGCATAGAAGGGTGTTCCACAGTATCGCACGTCCGCATGACTATTATTTTTCAAACCGTTTGTGCGTACTGTAGTTGAGGTAAAGCTAATTTGAATTCGGTGTCTCTCAACGTATAATTTGTAACGCTGCTGCGATCAACAAACATTTCCGTTAGGCAATCTATTAAAATTAGGAGAGGGCTTAATATAGTTCCCTGCGGAATTCTACATCGAAGTTTAAAATTTGTCGAAAAACATAATGGTTTTTGAGACATTCTTTGGTTGGAAATGTTTATTTTATATCACTAGCTTTCGCCTGCCAGACTGCAGCCTTCAACGGGTAGTTATCAGCAACTTCCCGTTGAAGGCTGCAGTCTGGCAGCCGAAAGCTCGTGCTAAATAAACTTTTCCAACCAGAGAACGTCTCAAAAATCATTATGTTTTATCCTAGTCGCACTTCCAGCATGCTTAAATTGTCGAAAAACGTCCATTAACAAAATATTTTTGCTCACGTTCTTTGAGATATGATATAAACCAACTTCCCGCAACACCACCAATGCCCCCTAACCACAACCCTAATCAAACCCTAAACCTAACCAAACCCAAACTTATTTAAAAAATTGATATAAAAACGGAAACCTTATTTTGAAGTATACTATCTAGCAATTCCCATATAGTTTATCCCCGAGCGAACGGCGTGGAGCGCTGTTCCCAGTGTAAGCCCGGGACGTAGGTACAGTACTAATTCCTCCCGGATATTTACACCCAGAGAAAGGAACGCACTATCGCGGAAAGGAAAGGAACGCACATAATCGCAGGTGCATGGCTATGGTTCACCGTTTATGGGTGGTCATTCTCACTGATCTCAAAATATATAGCTGTAGCAGACTGTCGTGAATAGCAGATACTGATTGGTCAAATTTGAAATTTGCATTATCGGCGACTGCATGACGACAGCGAAATAACAAACATTTCATGAAATTATATTGTATTTTCCAAGATTTTGAAAATTTCAAAACCTTTTGAGATAAAGGCCTAAAAATGTTTAAAGAAGGGAGCAAAGACGCAGACGTTAATGAAGGTAAGTTTGTTTTTAATACTGATATATTGTTTGTTTTATAATTGCTTTAATTAATTAAAACTGATACGTTCGTTGCGTACACAAGTGAAAAAAGACAGCATATAATCTCAGTGCATTTTTATTGATTACCGTTTTTTGTTATATTCAAATCTTTAACTAGAGAAGAAAGCAAAGTTATTTTCATGCGAGGATTTGAAATCAGTTTATTTCAAACTCAACGTTTAGCTACCGATAAAAGGCAGTTTAGTTTTAAGAACATTTTAAAACGTTTTGCGAAGCACTTGTGGTCGACTTTTGCATTAAATTGAGCCTTATATTACGTATAATAACATATAATAACATACAGTACCTAGCATATATATGTGTATGGGAAATTGATAATTTTGTAATAATAATTACATTGTTTGGGATTTTTCAATTTTAAAACTATTTTTAATAAAATTATCGTGTTACTATGACAACCACTTTCAATACTCCATGTTCGGAAAACATAACGGCTTTCACACTGGTAATTCTGTTGGCGATTTTTCTCCTCCTGGCAAGTGTGATCGAACGAATGACATGCAAAAGATTTAGAATTGTTTTTACTTCTGAAAAGTGAATCAATACTTTTGTGCGCGAGTTCACTCATTTGCATCCGTCAGAAACACAAAATCGCCGACAAAATTGCCAGTGTGAACCAGGCTATCAAACGCTTCCTTAATTTAAGGCCAAGAAACTCATAACAACTGGCATTCAAATACCACGAGCTCAGGACAATCTCGCATTATACATATAATACTTACTGTACATTAGGTTTTTGTTAGAATCATCCTATTAGTTAACATGCACAACTCAACGAAAACGAACGTATAGCCTCATTAAACGAACGATCTATTCGTCGAAATGCATAGAAACTGGCCTGCTCATTGGTAGGGACAGCACATCATGAATTATCGTCTGATATTGAACGAATATTATAATCACATACCGTTCTACGTAACAAACGAGCTAATTCTCATTGGTTAAGACAGCTGACAGCACATCATGCATGAATTTGCGACTGGTGTTACACAGCGAACGGACTTATACTCGCAAGGACAATACAATTATAACTTGTTCGAAATCCATTGTCAAATATTCAATATCAGTTTAGAAAGGACTTGACACGTGCCCATGTTAAACTCCAAAACAAATGTTCACATTGACAGGCAGGCATTACTGTAATTCGTTGAAAAATCCGGACCATTAATTAAACTTACAAAGTTAGGAAACAAGACTCCCTCAATACGTGGAGTTGGGATGTTCGCTTGGGTACCAGCCTTTGCAAGGAATAATAATTTATATAGAAACGCTGAAGTAACAGATTAGCGGTTAACAATTAATGCATGGTTTACTTCGTTATTTAAGCCGAGATACCTTTCTTCCTCTAACAATTATTTAATATTCCCACTCAGTACACACAAATAAACGGAGAATAAAAGATTAAGTACAACTAATAAAAATTTCGGAGCGGTTGCAGTCTCATATAACTCGTCCATCGTGACTACGGTTGAAAGACATCAAGGCATTATTAAAGTCTACTTGCATTTAATATTTCCATAAAGACAAGGATGAAAAGTGCAATTTGTATCGCTTTTCACTATTCATGCAGAGAATGTCAAAAAGTATGTGTATCCTAAAACCAAATAACACATCCCAAAGACTATATTTTGATTCAATTTATAGCCATTTGCTAAACAATAACCTATGTTTTGATATATGCATGTATAATTGTAATCTTGACATATAAAATAAGCTATCCTTATTAACATAACTGAATATTCGTTCGTTTTCGTTGAGTTGTGCATGTTAACTATTAGTTGACATGCACAACTCAACGAAATTAAGCGTACGAATAGCCTGATTAACTGAACGACAAACGCGCTTAAACTCGCTTGCTTATTGGCGAGACGAAAAATTAGAAATTTTCGTCAGCCAAACGTATACGATCATCACATGACGTTCCAAGACAAACGTACTTATGCGTCGAAACTCTTAAAACCAGGCTTGCTGGTTGGTCGAGACAGTAATTATGAATTTTCGTCTAGTGAGTAAACTGATATACTGTATTCTAATCGTCAAGAAGAGACCCTATAATTTGAATGTCTGCCATGAAAAAAACAAGAGTCGTAAACACAATTGAATTGAATTTTTAATTACCAGTTATTAACAACAATAGGATAATTTCTATACTGTAGTATCACGTTTTGTTGGGACATCCACACATAACTAATTAACGTCAATTCGTCAACCGAAGACTAGCCTCATAATAATTTGTTTACACAAATCTAAATTAAGTACGTGGCGCATAATTAGGTAAGCCAGAGCAACTTGAAGTGTCCTATCACAATGCAATTATATTTACAGAAAGGAAAGTTAGCTCTCTTTAGCTTTGGGTTATTTGATTGGGCGCATGTTTGTACCAGGAATAATAGTCTATACAAATCTCACTAACAGATTCGCGTTTAAAATGCTTGGTTAATTCACTCAGTAAAGCTAGGGAACGGAAAGTAAAAGGATAATGAATCTGTCTTCTATTTCCTCTCCTCGTTTGCGAGTAAACTGTTGGGCCTACATCACGAACAATCTGCAGGAAGGATTCGACACTTTCCCCCGTTAATTTCCAAAACAGTAATTGCTCTATTTTATTGAAAAAGTCGCGACCATTGCATGAACGCCGAACGCACAAGATTGGGAAACAATACTCCTTCCATACTTGCCCTTGGGATCATGGTTTGTTTGGGGGCATGCTGTTGTCAGGAATAATAATTTGCAGAAACTTTCAAAGTTTTCAAGAAATAACTCGCGGTTAACCGTGCATGGTTTATTTCGTTATTTAACCTGATATATCTTTTTAATGCCTCCACAGCACAGGTGTATGCACGGAGAATAAAATGTTACACAAAATTGCTAAACACTGCAGAGCGGTTGCAATCACATGTAAATCGTCTACCATGGCTACGGTTGAAATGATTTAAAAAACACGTATATTTGCATAAATAGTCGAGTAAATACCAACCTAGAATGTCGTGTTTTGTGATCAGTGTTTATGACTAGTTCTTTAGAAAGATAATTTCTATAGTTCATTGTCTTTTATTGTTATGATCAACAAATCACAAAGCCATGTTCATACAGGTTAGTGGCGACCCAATGTACATTATTAACATAACTGAATATTCGTTCGCTAACGTTGAGTTGT